ACAGATACGAGCCGCGGTAGACTGGACGGACACAGGTAGAGTCCTTACCGCTTCAGAATACTTTGTTCTTAAATTCGGACGCGTTTTTAATTTGAATGGGATTCGCGCAAATACGAAGATTAGTCATGTAAGTTAACGTTCACACGGCAGGCGAATTGCGGTGCAGTAATGAATTCGGGGCACTACGTGTTTTATGTAAGAAAGGGCTGGGATGCGCGGCGATCTTTCCTTCCCATTTCTTGTCCTATATTCATCTTTCTTACACACACACACACAACAACATCACATGCCAACTTTTCTATTCTTATCGGGAGATGCAGTACGAAGAACTTAGAGCTCGTTGGGTTTGGGCGGTGCCTCGCTGGCGAGTAGATACTGGTTGTGAAAAAATCCCCGCAGCCGATGGAGGTGACGAATCTCGCCATGCAGCGGGGGAAAGGTCACGCCAGCTCCAACGATAAAGCATGTATTATCTCTTAGGGAACTAATTACTTTGGCCGTTTACGCAACCGGATCAATCAATTATTGTCTGCATCTCAACTGCTACGCTACTACTGCTAAGGTCATTAGTCACGTAATATAATACATGTTTTATCGTGGGAAGTGGCGGTGATCTTCCCCCACTGGCTGCCAAGATTCGGCGTCGACCTACGTCGGCTTGCGGGGATTTTCCCCAACCAGGAATCTCCCACCAGTGGGGCACAACCCCAGCCGGAACAAGCTGTGAGCTACCCACAGGGTGGTAGTGTAGCGCACGTGAGACTCGAGCGTGTTTGACCTTCATTTACCCCGAGCGTATATCCCGTTTCCCAGGTCACGAGCCCAGAGGCGCGCGGGCGCTGCAGCTCCGCTTTAAGGGCCGCGGGGGTGGAGGATGGAGGTCGATAGTCGCTCGGAGCGAGAGGACCTAGGCCGCGACGCTGGCCCCCTTCCTCCCCCATCCGCCCTCAAAGGGGTGGCTACGCCGCCACGCAGCGGACCTCGCCGCTCTGGGAAGATTCACACTCCGTCCAACTTACCACTTGAACGGAATAATACTGAAAAGACTGACCAAGAAATCTGCTGGCGAAACAATTCTCCGCCTTATGTTCTAATTACAAGTGAACGTAATTAATTTCTTGTGGAAGTACGAAAGTTCACACAGCGAAATGGTACAATATCCAAATACTCCTATGTACGTGGATGACGCCGTGGCAGGGCTCAATGTCATCCGACGGAAAAAAGCAAAGCTACTCCCAGATTACAAGTTTGTGGCGTATGTAGTTCGCAGAAGAGTGTGTATGATACAGCATTTGCCAAACTCCCTCTACGTTTGCATTCGTCTACAACCCAAATATACGTCGGTAATGAGGAGTGGAGTCGAAGAAATGTTTCCTCTCTGACGTTCGCCTAGTTTGTATGAAATTTATGACCTCTTATTCTTACTTTAGCGCTAAGCCTACTTCCAATGGCACTGGGTCTGTATTCTTCTTTGGCATGTTCGGCCAAGGCCCGAATTGTGTGCAGCACTGTCCCAAAGAAAAACTAGTGAGAATGCACGCCGTACCGAAACTTTTCCTCCTATGAAGGCGGCTCCACACATTCGGCATTCGCCGAGCAGCGAGCTATTGCTCTCCCGATTCCGAACAGCTGATGTGTTTTGGCGAATGTTCGAGATATGTCCAAAAGACCGACAAGCAATGGGTAGGGAGAGCACCGAATGTTCATCCCTCGGCAAATAGCAAGCAACTCATCCACACTACTTGTGATTTGGTGAGTGGTTGCTCGCTACTCGCCTAATAATGAATGTGTAGAGCCGCCTTTAGTGTAATTACTCAAATTTTAAAAATCCATGACCTTTTAAGATCTACAATCGAATGCATTTATGCGCAAAGCATCCAAGCCACAAGAATCAATGTTTGAAAAATCGATTGGAAAGTTAGGAAATATCTTAAAATTTCGAGCAGCGACGATGCACGCCGAAAATTATATATATGTGGGATACCGCTGTAGAGAAGCTAGCAAAGATCTATTATATTCACTATACGAAAAATAGAAAACCCCAAAATGGTTCCATGTCGTTCAGAAGTCATGAAGACTAATGAAACGAGAGAAGTTCACAAATTCTGCAGCCATACATCACTATTCACGGCGAACAGAGTTGAATATGTTTCTGGAAACATAACTGAAATGCTTCTCTTGAGGCTGCGAAATATTGCTTAGATGAATTGAGAGAGCATTAGCAGAAACTGCAACGAGCATCGTCTTTTGTGTTCTCAACAGACGAGAGAATTCTGGAAAAAAGCGACACATACTTGACAAAGATTATTACTTTGCTGAAAGAATCAATGCGTATTGTAGAGATAGTCATGGTTACTCTGTCTGGACGAAAACCGACTTTTTCCTGATCAATTTCACGTTTGATGCTTATGCACGCCTCCCGACGCGTTTTGGAGTTTGAGGTCACGGAGGCTGCAGCAATGTGCTGGGAATTGCTTGCCGCTTGCCGAATCAAACTTTCCATACGGCCAATACACGTTTCACTAAGCTTCTCTGCACGATCGCTACGAAACAGCTCGCTGGAAAGATTCGCAACTCATTACTTGTGGTTCTCGTAAGGGCAATGGCCATCATTTCCCGTCGGGAACAGGGACAGGTGAAGCGAATCTCGGAAAATGTTCATTTTTACTTTCTTGCTACTGGGTAGAAAGAAAGAAAAATTTAATGCTGCGTGAAAAACGGCGAATATTCGGCAGAAAAACGCGTATTACGAGCCCTGATAACGAAAAAGTGGATAAATTCAGAAAACATCCTCTTTCTTCTTCAGAAAAAACACGCGCTCTAGCCAGAATCAATGCTTTGTAGGTCCTTGATACCGAAAACTCGAATAACGGCAAAATGTCTGTGAACAGCGCTAGCGGCTAAACCGTTAAGCAGATTTTCCCCAGAATATATGCTCACCGATCGATAACGTCGCGACCCCTTGAATTTAAAACCGATATTTTAATTTTGGGGGTAATTTATATGAAGCCCAAATGACATTTTCAAACTTTGCAGAAAAATGGCTCCATCGTTTTTGAATAAACTTTGTTGTTGGATAGTGTGCAGGATGTTTAAGACAATGGTCTTATGTTCGTTCAAAACTGACTTTCCGAAAATTGCAAAAATTCAATTTTTTCGGTGTCTTCCTGCAACTACATTAAAGATGTTTATTTCCACATATTTATTTCCTTAATGAAATCTGTTCCTTAAAAATATATAATTTTGAAATAAAGTCATGCACAATTTTTCAATAATTTGAGAACTTTTCGCATACGTTTGCGTCAAAGTACGTTCTGTTTTAGCACCACTATTAAAGTTAATAGTTTACGTTTTGAACAAGCCGAAACAGACGGATATTGTTACGCAATCTTTTTTGAAATGCACTTTGAAATTTTCAGGTAAATTAGCTATGAAATACCTCGTTACAATTATTTACGGTGCTATTATCATAGAGGAACACCAGTATTCATCCATGTTATTACTGTCAAAAAGTCGCTTGCTCGAGAACACGTGCGCTGATTTTACTTCGCTATACACATACGTCGCATAGTTTTTAATATTCTTTGACGAAATAAATCAAATCAAACGTCAACTGTCAGGAGGGGGCAGCCCTACGCCCTAGCTTCTGAGGCTATTATTTCATCTCCACAAATGAACAAAAATATTGTGAATCCCGTAGACCTTGCCACAACCGCATTCTCACAGTCGGTCACGCGATCACGCTTCAGAAAACTTGCACTGGCGCAAGCGAGCACCAGAACGCACGCTCAACAGGTTGCCGGTGGCGGCGCGGGCCTGCCACGAGGCGCCGAACCACCGTCAGCCGTACCGTGCACACACACACATACACACACGATGCTCCCGGCAGCGGCAGCGGCGCCGCCGCCGCCCACGCACATGCAGCAGGCGAGGCCCTTCGCCTTGCGTACTCAGCTGGAGGGAGAGGGCAAGAACCTCCGCGCTGGCCACCCGCTCTCTCGTGACGACGCTAAACGGGCCACAAAATCGCTCATAACAAGAAGTCAGCGAAAATAGCGCTCGCTTCTGACAAGATTCGCATCTATTACGGATTTGGCATACTGTCCGCTCTGACGACGGGTCGTCCGGAATACACACGGTATGCTAATTACCTCGACAATGCGATGTTAGCACGACTGACTATGAGCACATCCTCATACTTGCAACTTCGCAGGGAGAGCAATGGCAGGTGCATCAATTTATCTCGGACGGTCAAACACGCTTAACACCAGTGACGTTCCAGTAAAATCTCAGAAACATCATGCAATTTCATCGCGGTTAAGAGTTAAGGTATACAATTTATGTGCACGCCCTTTCGGAAAACATTAGCACTTAAAAAACACCTAATTAGCCGTACAATGTCACAAACGAAAGGATAAAATTTGACATCCTTTTAGATAAAAGATTTCATTAAAAATTGAAGTACAATACTACAGCGATGAACATTTCTGGTAACAATAAGAGCAAATGCAAACTAACCTCAATACGCAATATAAACGTTTGACATATTACCTTTATTTTGTTGATTTCAAACACCGGACCCTTAGGGCACGTTTTTTTGAGAGTACTTGAATATTCACTACTCGAACGAAAACATTATGTCACAACACTCACTAAAAGCTATTCTGCAAAATAATATAGTACGTAACAGACGTCCCAAGTCCTCCATTCTAAAACTGTACCAAATTCACATCAACCATCTTTGAAACTTCAATATCACATAACGTATTTACATTAGCACAGGTCACCAATATGTATTGTTTCACTTTTATTAACACCAAATACTGTCACTTGCCAACAAATCGAACATCTCATGGTCCGTGTAATGTTAACTGTAAATACTTCCTTGAAACCACGCAAGATAGCAGCACGAACCCACGTTGCCAACCAAAGGATCGGAAGGACCTTTTCCCGCGTTTTCGAACAGCATCCATTGGCTTGGGAGAATAAATAAACACGACTGTAGATATACAAATTTGATTATATTATTTTATCGCTGCTATAAAGACAATCTTCCAACAATTCGCACGACTACAAGAGTATTGAACAAATCATTTTACATATTCACAGAATCAACGCAGTCCGTAAATGAAACCATTAGGAATGTACACCGGTCTTGTTTTCCCGATAGAAGGTACTATAAAATAATACCAAAAGTTTATGAGAGTTTGTTGTTCTTTGGTGCACAATTAACATTATTCCCAAGATTTTGCATTTAACAAATTACGAATATGTTCACAGAAGACTTCCTTGTCAACATGTTTTTGCAATACAGTATTCCAACAGTTCAAAATAGGCTTTAATAAATTGTAATGTATATTTGAATAACAACATAATATAAAGAAGGGAATAATGTCATGTAAAAAATACAATGGTTACAAATGTCTGATTATGTAGTATTCTCTGCACTCACACATACACACTCGTATGTACATACATATATATAATTTAAAAAACCCACAATCTGAATCAATTTAACATGAATAGTTTTTACAGTGACAATACTGAAAATACTATGATGTGTAACACTGCACAAATAACACTCACAAGAAAATGAAATAATAATGAAATTAATAACATGAAGTAAATAACAAATAGTATTCACATTGCTAGTAACAGGCTGATTGGTAAGAAGCAATTTGTTCATTGGAACTCTACACTGGGTCTCAATTTGTACTCAAATGTATTACACACTTTGTAAATATGAGCATGAAAAAAAAAGCATGATACTTGCAAAATCAGCCTTAAATATACTAAGTACAGAGTTAAGAGTAGTTTCAGTATTTCATCATTCTTTCACACATGAATATTATATATTCCTTAGCTGAATACCATTTAGTTATATTGATTAGTTCCTAAAAAAAACTTAATTCTTTCATTCCTCCAGTTCAAGCACACCAAGTGTGCTTAACAAAATCATTGAGAAAAAGTTTTTGAAGATCAAGAAAATTACATAATTTTTTTAATATACCAATTATATTATAAATAACTCAAACCTTTCCTTTAAAATAACATTTCAAATCATCAGTGCATCAAGAGTGCCTTGCCCTTCAATAACAACAGGATCGTTTTTATGATTTCTCTTCTTAAAACCTCCATAATAATTCACAGAAAAATATACTCAATTTTTTTTTAGTTAGTTTTCAATACATTATAACCAAACATGATTAATGTGTAGCAACAGATTTCTCATTACAGCTTTACAAATAGCAACTTGGTTGCCCAGACCTCAAAACATCACATTGGACAACATCCAAAGACACTTGAAAACATCTTTCATATTTCTCTTATAAAGAGACAATTCACCATTTGACAAATTTTTATTACTAGCACATGTAAATAATCAATTTAATTTTTGTATTACTAAATTAAAAACTTTCATAGTATGGATGAACTTATGGGGAAGCTATAGTTGAGGTCAAGTAGTTTGCCAACTGAAAAGGAAGAATATAAGAATAAAATTCCACAAACATTCAATCCAAGAGTTCCTTAAGCAAGAACTGGCAAACAGATAAAATCTGTTACTCTATTAATAAGCATTGACAAAAAATAAATTTAGAAAAAATAAAACAATCCTATGGAAAGTCTTAATTTCTTGGCCTAATTCAGCATACAAATATGATACATAGTTGTTTGAAAAACAATCATTTTCAAATTAGCAACATACTTTTTCAGTAATACATTGCAGAACACCACAGGAATTGATACACTTTGATATGCTTCATGCTAATGTTTCCAAAAAACAAGTTTCATATTCAATATATAATAAAACTTAATCCGGCTTTAAACTATAATAAATAACACTGCCCATCACCACACATCTAGATGATAATAGCTTTTCAAATTGTACATAATTTTCTTTTATGTTGTAATATGCACAAAAGCTCCTTATAGTTTTAAAAACAATGCCATTTTACATCTCTTTGCAAGGATGTTGCAAAAAGTAAAGAAAAGAAATCAATGCCCAAAAGACAAGAGTAATACTAATACAACTTTATAAAATTGTGAGCAAGTTTTACAAGTACACAATATCTAAATTATTATTATCATCATCATCATCATTACTATTACTACTATTAGTAAGTTCATTCATGTACATTCACAAATTACATAAAAAATTGTGAGTCGTATCTTCTCATGCAGTGTTTCAGATACATTACATATTTTTTCCACTCACTCAAGACAAACATTTCATTTAATTGTTCAATAATCTGTTTCATATGACCATGTTTTCTATCAATACGCCACATCTTGCAGTCATTAAAAGTTAAAAGTTTAGATTAAATAATTTAACAATAAATATAATTATTAAAATTATTTTTATTGTTACAATTGCAAGTACACAGTAAAGTACAACACAGGTAATGTGATCAAATTCATGACATTGCATGAAAGCACACTCAATGCTTCCATTTTTTTCATGTTGAGAAAAATTGATAAATAGAAGGATAAAATTTTATTTTCTATAAAAAGTTTCAAAAATCTACATTACAGCACAAAATGATTATACAAATAGATTTTCTCGCCAAAAAAAGATTATTTAAAAATATCTTTACTGTTAAGGAATTTACAAATGGTAATCTACTTATAGTCTTTATTTATATTACAAACAACTTAGTTTTTCTGAAAATTACACATCAGTACACACAATACTAGCTGTACTAGAACACTCGAGCAATTGTTTTTTCTGCACCACTGCAAGATGTAGCAGGAGTAGAAATACATATTACAGTGCACTCTAGCAATTTTTCTCTTCAACATCAATACAACATTCATTGATGAAAGTTACAATGAAAGGAACATAGTGAAACAATGAAACAAAGGAACTTTCATTATACTTTACTTTGGGATGAAATAAAAGTTAAAAAAATAAAAAATAAAAAGAAGAATGAATAATGACTGCTTGTTCTTCATCAACATCAGTTTCTCCCTCTTTCCACAGATTATATCAATGGAGGGAAAACCATGTTTTCATGAGACTAGAAAACCCCTCACAGTTAAAAAGAATTAAAAAGATGATAAAATTTATGACAAAACAAATCATTCTTTGATGAGTAATATATGTACCAGAGTTCAAAAGCTAATTAAGAAATGAATAATAAATTAATATGCCAAAATACTATAATTACAAAACTGTTGAAGAGCAGCAGTCATTAAACATTCCAATGTGCTGCACTCAGAAGTGCTAACAAAGCTGATCACAGATCATAAATGATCTTGCAAATACTGAATTTACACAAAATAAAGTGTTTCCTTCAAAAGCAGAATCCTTAGTTTTGGAGAACCTGGTAATATGTCAGTATCTTACAGGAGTTCTGACAAATACTCTAAAGTACATCACTCAGTTCCATACACATTTCAAGTGTATCGACCCAGCACAAGCGCTCGAAGCAATGGCCCTAATTCCTGAGGATCTTGCAATGCTTCGACCAACATCTTCTCTACATTTCTCATGATTGCAACTTTCTGATGGCCTTGCAATGGGTATACAATCTGTCCAGTAGGGCCAGCCTGTGGATAAAACTTTAACTTAGAATACATTACAACTAATTTATGTTACATAAATGAAATACATTAACAACTTATTAACTACAGTAATAAACAATTACATCTAAGAGAATTATATGAATAAAACCAATCACATTCAATGAAAAACTTCCAAAATTTTATAAGTATTACACTGGATTAGTTCCACTATAAATTATGAAATTAAAAAATTCATTTACAATGTTTCTTTCAATAAAAAGGACCACAAAAAAGTATATATTATGGAAAAAGTTTGGAACATAAATAGCTAACTCCTGCAAGGGTTTTTTGGGTCTGAATTTAGGTCTGACCTCTTGCTTTTTTCCATCTCTGTTTCATCTCATGCAACTCCATTACAAACTAGAAAATTAGGTGAACATATAACAGAAATGAAAGATGATTGAAATCACTATATATACAAGCATAAGTTTGTGTCCATGCATACCCACACTGGTATTTAAAGAGACCTGTGCCCACCAACTACTATTCTCATTCAAACAACAATGAAATCACATAGCATTAGATGAATCTAGATAACATGTATCAGGAAAGGTTAGTTCCCAACAAATTTCATCTAGTAATATTCAGCATTGTTCTAGAGACTAGACTGGCAAAGGTTTCAAAACATCATAGAAGAGGAAAAAAAAACATTCCTTACAGACATTTTTGTCTGAAATTTGGAGCCAATTTTGAAAACAATGCCCTTTAGCATTTCTAAAAACACAATTCTTAGCTCTTTTACGCACAGACTTGAAATTTTGAAGAACTTCCCAAAAGAGGGTTCCTAACAGAGCTCCCTAAAAGTGGCTCTACATTCGGCATTCGCCGAGCAGTGAGATACTGCTCGCCCAGTCCCAAGCTGCTGATGTGTTCGGTGAATATTCTCTCCCTTAGATGTGTTCTAAAGACTGACATGCAGTGGGTAGGACGAATACCAAACATTCGGCGCTCAGCGAATCGCAAGCAACCCGGCCACATCACTTGAGATTCACCAAATACCACATGCGTGGAGCCACCTTAAGAGAGAGTTCCCAGAGAGAACTTCATAACATTTTAATTAATTGAGTTCACCAATTCTAAATTTCACATGTAAAGCAAATATAAAGGACATGAGAAATATTAAAAAAAGTACCCAAGTGTAATTTTTGAAAAATAAAAAGTTTTAATCAGTAGGCACTTCTGCAATGTGAATCAATGCAATGTATTCTATCAGTACAAATGTTTCAAGAAAATAAGCAAAGCAATTTTTCAGAAAAATGTTTACATATTTTTTCAAAATTAATGAGAAGTACTATTTTCTTTTTGAATTGAAACAGACACTAAAGATCTAATTTTGAAGAGCATAATTACGAAAGAAATCTCTATCTTCAATAATGTGGTTGCAAGAGAGGGTCAAAAAAATCTTTAACATTTTATAATTTTCAAAAATTCAGTGGTTTGAATAAAAATTGAGGCACTCTTTTATAAGTGAACTTTGCTCTCTTCTAAAAGAAATTCATACAACATATTTGACAAAACTTTGAAAATGGATGAGGAATTCACGTAAAGCATACCCCTAAAAATTAAAAGATATTGAAAATTTGCAGAGCTTTGCAAGCCAGACTGATCTGGAGACATTCATTTTGGAAAAAAACATGTATGATTTATCCACTAGTGTTTTTCACTGGCAAATATACATCTGGAAGAAAAATAATATTTTGTATCATTTATTCCTTAATATATGAATTAGGTAGTGACAAAATATCAACATAAATTTTCTTGCAGCATTACATAACTCAATATATTACAAATATGAGTAAAAACACCCGTTTAGAAGTTTTCCTAACTACAGGAGGTTTTCACTGAAATTCATTTTAATTTAGTACATAACAAAACTGTTCTTTTTATTCAATCACATACAAGAAGAAATCAAATATTGGCCTGGCAGAACCATGTGCTTCAAACCAATCATTTCGTATGCCATTAAACATAATTTGTGATATCTTTTGAATATGTATAAATAATAGTTCAACAAAAGCAATAATTTTGAGGGAGGGGATATACTTTTGTGCTAACATTTTTATATTTGCATCACAAACATTTTGATAAAAAATGAGACACACACTTTTTTAATGCTTTACTTTTATTTAACTTCCACCAATACGAAAATTGTAGCAAATTAATTTCTTCATACATTTTATTTTTCCCAATTATTATAAAATATGTTTTGAATGTATCATTAGATAAAGATAATACTTAATTATGGCATTCTTTTAAATATTTTAAAGTGGGAGTCCTGAAAACTGTTCAATGTCTAGCATGTCAAATTGTCCAGGCTCTCTAATGTAACAAGATGTCAACAATCAAATATCTCATATACACCACAAAATTTAAGAAAAAATATTTTCCCCAAGCAACAGATGCACGTGTTGCTGTTGTTTTTAAAGATTGCCGACATTAATTGAACAAGTGAATGAAATATTTCTTATGTGACCATTTCAGATATATAGCTAGTTTTATGTACTCCTAGTTCATATAATTATGTATTGACATACATAAAATGTGTAGTATTACACTTCTAATTATGTGCTACAGAAGCACATTCATTGCTGGAGTCAACCTGACATTTTGTACAGATCCTTGGGAAGACCAGTAGCATCCATGAATGTGATAGAAGTACTCCTTACCTATCAATTTCAAACCATAATGATTTATTATTTTGAAAAATTCAACATAATAATGAATATTTTAATTTTTGTTGCACTTTCATTCCAAAAGGTTGGTTTGTCATATCTTGTGAATTAAATTTCCTGAATTCTATGGAGTTTTCTGCTATGTTTGCAGCTTCAGACTTTTAATAAGACTAAAACTGTCATTCATTCTGCAGTACATAAATGTGATACTTAATTACAAATCCTAGCAACCTCCAGGCCCATAGATCTGTAATAATCCTTCTTACATACTCCTAAGACCGAGATGAGGAATCTGTGAAGACAGATGAGCATGTATACGTATTTGATGATATAATTGAATTGAAATGAATTTGCCTTATTTGACGTGGCGGACTCGGGCCGTCAGCCGCTCTTCCGTCTTACCACACCAAATTTCGCTACGCTCCTTTCAGCCAACTAGGATGAGAAAGGAGGTATTTCTTGGCGAGAAAACAGTGTGATTTTGAATTTAAGCTCAGAGGCGTCATTTAGACTGAGGTCTGCTTTACATGCAAGTATAGCTACGATACATGGGGTACAGCCGGCTTTACTTCCCCTCCGCAAGGATGCGTTACGAAGGATTTTTTCTGCCTTAAAAATCAACGGCTTCTGATCGGGTTTGAACCCGCCAACTTTGGTACAACAGTCTAGTACGCTAACCGTTACACCATCGGCGCCGCGATATAATATCACCAATAGTTCCGTTTTTCTTTTACTTATACCTCCATGAACTAAGTGATCAATTTTGTTGACCATAGATTACTTTTTTGTAAATATATCGGGTAGAATAAGGAGTTAAAAAGTGGACAAAGTTATTATTTAAACACCAGTACAGAGCGCAGGCAAAGTGAATCTGCATATCTCCATGCGCGTTGGAAACTCTCATCCAAAATAGATTGTAGCAGGCAGAAGTGATGAAACGTTTGACTCTGGAACATGTGAGCGCAGGGAAAAAGAAGCCCAGTGATGCGTTGAAAAATAATAATTGACAGAAACCTATCACAGAAGTAAAGAGGGGCCTCACAGGATGGCTTCTAAAAGCAATTTTGTATCTTTTTATGCCTCTACAAAGCGTACAAATTAAAAACTCTATGAAAGATAATCTGCTCCCTAATGATTAACAATTACCATCAGAATAAACTGCAATATAATTGAGGGAAAACTATATAAGGAGCGTTAAATAAGAAATGAGCCAGAACCCTAGGAACGAAAACCAGTATCTGTATGTGAGAAGTGTTGGTCCTGACTTTTGAGGTACTTGCGCCATTACAATACAAGGTGATGTATAGCTGTCTCGTAAAATTCCCAGGGCTGCCTTGTTAATCAGTTCCATAAGTGCTCTTCATCGTCGTCTGAGGTGAATCAACCCCCTTTTTTAAGGGACCAAAAATGGCATACTCACAGGGAGAGAGATCTAGGCTCTATGGAGGGTGACCAAGAACCTTCCATTTGAATTTCTGCAAGAGTACACAAGTACTGGTTTTTGTTCTATTCATTTCATTTTGAATACTCTTTATAAATTAAAGACCTAATGGCATAATTAACCATATATAATATATAACCATTTTCAGAAAGAGTGTTAAAATATTTTCAGTTTTCTATGTCCAGAATATAAATATTTTTAACATTTTTTATCCTTGATATCGTACAATATCATTCTAAAATTTTCAATTTATGCTTTCCCTACATTTTCTATTGTTATCCTTTAAAAATTTTCTAACCTATTCCACAGAGACATGACCAAGTCTGTTTATGAAAAACTTATCAAAGTCCAGAGTCTTCTCCCAAGGCACAACTGATATCTACATCACAGATACAAAAAATAAGAGCACATAAATATCATGAGCATGCCTGGCTGTAAGAAATGTTTCCACAAAGCAGTTATGAATGCTGATGGTTTTGTAAACATCTGATAAGTGTTGAAAGATGAATATCACTTAGCGTCAAGAGAAAGTCCTAAAAGACAAAAACAAACTCCTTACCTAAAAAAATATGAGAGTAAAAAAGCACTGAAGTTCATCATTCCCCCCCCACACACACACACATATATTGGGGTGCAACTCCATTAGTGTGAAAAAAGAAAGAGGGTAAAATGTGGAATGGGATGATTTCATAATAGTTGTTGCAGAAATCTTTTAGTATTTTAAAGTTTAAATGTAATTAAAAAGGAGTTAGCAAATAAAAGCAACTTCAGTTCATTACAAAGAGCCAAATTACACAAGATGTTAGCTACCCTGAAAGCCTCCATGACCTATGATGACCACCTATTTTTTGTCCCTTTATGCTATATTGACTGCGGCTCAACATTGTAAACTTTGTCTTCCACTCCGATGTCAAACATGACTCTACATTTAATTTTCTTTTTTTGCAGAGCTTTGAATTCATTTGAATTTTAACAGAATGCACACAACTGTAAAGTAAATAATTGGTAGATGTCTATTATACCCATTATTGTATAATTTCATACTGTCTAGAGAATATTTATTAGGCTCCTAATAGTGTGAGGGAGAAAGAGAGATACAGAAACTGTCAACACTCTGCCCGGCCACTTGGAGCCCTAGTTGAAGAAGAGGTAAGCAATGATTGGTTAGTAGTTTTCGCTTGTTTTTTGTACACCACATTAAGACTGCATCCAATGTTCACTTGGCCACTGAGATAACCTTGGTGATCATTACGTTCTTGTGTGTTTTGTCTTCATCGAAGATATTTCATTTTACAGGTCATGCTCACATTAGCTACTAGTTTGGTTTACATTGCAAATTTCTATTAGCTGATCTTGGTGGGATGTAAGGATGGTTGAAGTTTAGAGGTAAGCATTTAATTTAAAGCCTCGTTCACATTTACTTGTATCAAATTTGTAACCTTCTCTATTCACAGGACACCATAAGGATAGCATTTGTTCTTTTGTTTATTTCATGTCATATAACATTTATTTCTGTCACATAACATTGAGAGTGTACTTCTATCCTTTTGGTGTTTTGCTACTAATAGGTTAAACTTATGTTTTTTCTTCTTCTTAATTTGTAGTATCTACCTTGACACTGTCTCTAAGCTCTACAACAATTGACAAGAGAACCGCTAAGTAGCATCTCCGCGTACACATCTCCTACCAAGCGCTCCTGCGTCACTACCCAGTGGCCAGAATGGGAAGGAATAAAGACTACAATTTAGGCCGCTTTACAAATTTCACATGAAATCCAACAGGATTCAAAACCGGAACTCCTCGGTAAAAGGCTTTGCTCTACACCACCAAATACGAGATGTTGATGTAAATGAAACATTACTATTGCCAATGTGTACAGTGCGACTAGCCAAGTGAAAAACCAGAGTTCAATTTGCAGAAATATTATAGGTGTTGTGGTAAGATATCTTTGGCATTTTTAAAATAATTAAAGATGTTGTCATTGCCAACAATGTTTATTAATTCAATAGCAGCTTTCGATGGCTTAGCCATCATCATCAGTTGTCTGCTAGATGGAAGCCACAAAACGACTAGGCATCGAAAGCTGCTATTGAATTAAAAAACATTGTTGGCAATGACAACATCTTTAATTATTTTGCAGAAATATTGTTAAGAACAAAAGGCAACATCCAACAGAGAACATAGCGTGAATAATTCAAAGGAATTATGATTGTTGTTATGCTATTTCAGTTTGTAAGACACAGTATTAACACTTTATTAATTAGAAGCATGGTGACATGAATCAAACTTGTTTTCATTCTTTTTTAACTACAATGCTACTTATTTTGTGATCCAAACCTTAGATACTGGCAATGCATTGTAATCACACCATTGTGTTGTGATCAAGACATTAGGATTTAAGTAAAGACCTGATTGCATCACAGGACCTCAAGAATTAGGAGCATCAAGGTTAAAGGACACTTTTCTTCAGTATCAATATTGATCATTTAAGACATGTTTCACTGTAACTATTTTGTGCAAAGTTATGTGACATTTCTTGCAACTTACCTTGTACCAAAAATTAATAGATATCGTGTAACCGCCTCTCATGATTGACTCGATATGGTGCCACCAATAAATTGGTATGTAAAGAACGTCCCCCGGGCCCACAACTGCCTCTTGTCCTCTTGCTTCCCGAAATTTAGGAAAGCGATTATAGTCTGGGCGGTCAAAGTCAACCTATAAAATGAACTTCTATAAGATTTGTACAGCAACATTGACGGTTATGATAATAATAATAATAATAATAATAATAATAATAATAATAATACCTGAGTTTGTCGATCATGAGGATGATAAACTGGATATGGATAAAAACATTCAAATTGTTCAGGAGGGAAAAGAATGCAACGTTTGTATCCTCTAACTTCAGCAAAGAAGTTTTGTTGTTCATCATAGTGGCAAGGTGTGACATTCCCTGAAACATAAAAGCCTTTTCTATTAATGCTGTAAAACGGGGCCCTTCAATCCGTAGCTCGCATAGCAACTGGCCTAGCAAACAAATTTAATATTTTAGATATTCTCCACCTAAATTCCAAACAAATGAATAGTAAATACAATAATATTAAACAAGTGAACAGGAACAATTACAAAAAATCTATTGCCTCAAGAAAGATTCAATAATAATAACCCGTAATAAAAATAATAAACCCATAATAAAAAATGCAACATATTTTCACAGAGAACTAATAAGATAACGAACCTATTGTGAGATCTAGTCACAAAGTTGTTCACAAACTAGTTAAGGCGAGAACATTCACAGACCGACATTTATTTAAATGATTGCACTTCGAAATTGGTTGAACAAATTTTATTGGAAAAAACTTGGTTCAATTCAAATTTCTGTTAAACTATACAGTTTCTCGTCAAACTGAAGATTTAGAAATTAGCTTTGAAAACTCTAGTGCAGAGATCACCAAACCATTATTTGCGAGCTATTATTAGCTTGCAAGGCAATTTTCAGTAGTTTGCACGAGCAGTTAGATGTTAGGTTAAACTGGGAGTTGTGATCGCAAGCTACTGCAGGAACATTTTTGGTAGTTAGCAGTTATGGGGAGTTGCTCCACTGAGCACAGAGAGGATACATGAAAACAGTTGCTTGCATAGTTTCAATAGCAAGTTCTTATATTTCTTTGTTTTTCTTGGAAACTCACAGACTTTACAAATTTTACGGTTGCTCAGAAGCATCATAAGTTTGGCAACCACTTCTCTAGAGTGTAGTGGTGATCAATGGCTTGAAAGTGAAGTGGATGAATCAAATATTTCAGATTAAGTCAATTGTTTGCATTTTTTGTGAAGTTGGGAACAATTTTGCAATTCGCAAAGAATTGTGTGCTATTCATAGGATGAAAAATACAACTAAAACAAAATATTATTTTTCAAAACCAAAAGAAACTTCACATCTCGGACTACAATGGAAATATTTATGTGTTACTTCTGATGACAGATGCAATGTGTGGCAGAATGACAAACTAGATAGAAAAAATCTAAGAAGCTGTTCAAGAAGTTCGGATGCAGAAGCCCATTCAGGTGTTGTAAAGGAAGTAAAATAAAATTGTTATAATTGTATGAAAAGTAACTAATTTAAAAACAGACAAGATCTTGTTTGTTTTCCGATACCTAATTTTAAAACTTTGATATTATACAGAAAAAACATTTCTGTAGCTAACAAAACTTGTGAAATCAGCAAATTACTATACTGATTTTAATTTTAATATTTTTATGTGGACCCAATTTTCAAGTGGGCCATGTTCCTACATAAACTATTTGGCCTGCAGTAAAAATAAAAGAAGATATAAACCCTGCTTTAGAAGACAACACAAAACTAGTGCTATACTTTCCTATATTGTTGTTTGTCCAGTAACACTGTAATACTGCGACTTCAATAATATTATCACTTCAGCAATCTCTGGAAAATTTTCTCAACATACCAAAGTACAAATACAGATTTTCAATTTATTGAAAATTCAAGTGTGTAAATGAAATTGTTTCCCTGCCATTAAATTCAGTACTCTGTACTTAAGTAAAAAGTTTAAATAAATCATTACCAGGCTGGGATTTGAACTTATGCACTAAAGATCACAAGACAAGAAATGCTCCCAAATTCCATGGTTTTTAATGAAAATTGGATCTATGCCATATTATTAAATAAAATGATATGCAAGCAAAAAATTTAGAAAAGAAATTTTGAGTCACTTTTGAGAAAATCTTCTTCACATACTTTGAACTGTCAAATTTCACACATGACAATTAGTAAAATCACTCACAATAAAACAATTTTTGAGAAAATCTTGAAATTTCAGACACTAGAGTTGTCCACAGACAAACCGTCTTTTATAAAAAAGAACACTTATTCATATTCAGGAATCCATAAACTGTGGATTCTGACTACACTAGATACATAAGCACAAAAGGTTCACTTTTTCTGTGTGAAGGACCCCACATAACATTTCTGTTGAGAGTTTGTAATTTTTTCTGCAACATTAAAGATCTTTCCTTGTAGTACTTATATGCGAAAGAAACATTTTAAAACAAAACACATGTGACCATTTTTAGTGGTGTCATGTTCCCTGATTTTGTATTTCAGCTCTAAATATTAATTTTCTCTCATTTGATGTAACAAATTAAAATATCAAATCACACTAATTTTATTTGCAGTTTATAAATGACTAACAAAAATAATAAACAAATACCATAATTCATACTTCATTTTCCAATACAATTTTTGACATGCTCTTAGAATCCCCCTTCAGTTACTTCAATCAATTGACAAAATTCATGAAAAATCAAAATTCTCACCTTCCATTGAAATCAACAATAAGTTTGAAGTTAGTGGTCCCCAGTTGTTGGCCTTTTGTTTTGCATTAGTCCACCCCCATCTAAAGTTAAGGAAGTCTTGAACAATTGATGGTCCAACAGTGTTATTTAAAGCTTGTTGCAGGTACATTCTGTAAATAAAATAGCATTTTTGGATTGAAAATGCGCATAGCAATGTACACCAAACTTTCACTGTGAAAACTCATACCTCTCCTCGCCTCTTTTCCACTGCTTTAGGCGTTGTGAAAATTCTGGTAATTTCATGTCAACCCTTCTTGTTGGAGGTGTAAATTCTGCTTTAGATTCACCAGCAACTTGAGAGATCTTTTTGTCATCAAAATATTTAAACTTGTGATTCCGTGACAGAAATACTGTATAATCCCCATTTCCCATATTTCTTTCCAAATATTCTAGATCCCATAGCATCGCAGAGGACACAAGGTCAGTGCCTGTTATCACAACTGGTTTCTAAAATGCAATGATAAGCAATCGTAAATTTATTATACAAAGTTTTTCACTGAATCAAAGGTTATTTACAAGTAGGAAATTAGGTGAATCAATTAATAAAATTTTATCTTGGTTATTAAATATTATTTTCATATAGCTTACTTTTAATCAACCACAAGTTGACCTCTTCAGTTCTAAAGTATCATATTAACTCAAACACTAGTAGTATGTATTAATGCATAGTTTATAGCTACTTCGTTACCAAATTAAATGAACATGTCATGTCCCCTATACAATGAAAATCATCACATTTCATAGAATAAAAAGCACTGATAATTTTAAATTGCAAACAAGTTTTAATTGTCAAGTTAAGAAGGTGATGGTAAGTTTATCTAAATGTTGAATATCTTCATTCAATTTGATAACAAGTAAATTCGAAACTATGGAGTAATATATACTGCTAGCTTTATTTTTTATTGATTTAATATAATATTTTGATTTTGAAGATGTCGACTTGTGACTGACAAAACTTAAGCAATGTGAAAATAAAAATATTTAATAGCAGAGATAAAATTTGATTGATTCACAAGGTCATTCCTTTACAAAACTAAATGTAAATATAAGGAATTCTTAATACAATAAACAATGTATTCTACTTTCGAAGGGCTACTTTAAAAAAATATAGCACGAGTGTGGAGTAAAGCAAATACAGGTATATAATATGTATGTCACGGACATATCAAAAAAAGTTCATTTTACCAAGCAAGAAACAAGCACGCAATTAGATGAACGTGAACAATGACAACAAAATGTCACTACAAATTCAGTGACTAATACATACGTTTTCTGATATCAGCTCATCCACTCGTGGATCAGAAGCATGAAGACGTGGAATTTCTTCCAATGGAATATCATATTTTCGCAATTGGGATGGATCGTACCCTCGTTTCTGCGCCATTTTCGTACCAGTGCGCACAGTGCTGCTCTCCACGGGAGGCCCTCGCAGAATGTGAGGGGCAGCACGTCGGCGCATCGCACTTCGCACGGCCGCACGAGACTGCCGAGAAGTCACGTAGGCACCGCCGAGCAAGCCTCGGGCCTCGGGCTGCATTCAATATGCGCATTTGAAATTGCGCTTGCGAGCGCGCTCGATACGAAAATAGATTCAAACCATTCCAGGTCAAACTACCTTTGCAGTTCATCCTGTCCTAGTTCTTTCGCTAATGCACGCTAATGCTACGAAATCGAACAAAAATTTTAAGGTGAACTTCACTCGCACTAAATATATTTATATCACATTTTCCCCTCGCATTGTTCAATTATTTGCGTACTTCATTGACTCATTGCATTTGTAGACTTGTTTGTAAAACTAATACGTAATAATCGCTGCGTACTGTATTGTACAAATTAATTAAAACGCATTTCCTTATTAACTAGAACCTATTAAAATCGTACAACGAACATCTTATTTGCCGAAATAATTTAAGAAAAACTTTTTTAAATTCTAAACAAATTGAACAATTGCATTTGTTAGATTGATTATTTCGTGTTTCCGGTTGCGTCAACTGTTGCGGTTATTAGAACTAAGTATAAGAACATGCTATATCTCGGGAGAAAGCCGTGTTTTCCCCCACGGAACGTGAGATTAAGCGCTGACCTACATGTCGGCTTGTGAGAGGAGTCACCAGGGGCGCCCAGAGGATACTAGGAGCCTAGAGAAGTAGAACCAAGGGGGGCCCTTATTTACAACAAAAGTTCCCCTTACTTATTGTTAATTATTATTTATAATAATTAATAGTCATAAATATAATAATAATACATTTTAAAGTGAAACATATTTCAACTACAGTGAAATATATTTTTTTAAATGATTTGAATGAAATATATTGTTTATAAATGTTTGGGGCCCCTCTGAAGTGAAGGCGTGGGGCAAATTGACTCAGCTGTCCCACCCTCTGGTAGTCAACCTCCGGGTATCAATCAGCAGGGCACTGCCTCAGCCCACGATGTATTTGGTGATGTAGGGCATGACCGGGCGCGAGCGAACTTACGAGGAGAGATGGATGTGGAAGGGAAGATCGCGTCAAAGATGTGGAAGGGAAGATCGCGCGCGGTCCTTGGCCCGTCCATCCAAGTACATCTCTGGGATTCGCCTGGTAATAAGAGGAAAACATACGAAAAACTGTCTATCAGGGAAGTAGTAGGGTAGAATTCTCCTCCAGACAGCGGCTAAATTCGGCCTAGCTATCTAGCTAGTTTCGAAAATCCTCCACCGTCGCGATCCCACCTCTAGAACCTCTCGGTCAGAGACAGTGCAGTGGCAACGGTGAAGTTGCCAGTCTAAACCATCTCAGTCGGCCATTAACTTCCAGGAACTGAAAAATGCTTTTGATTGTTTCACAATCTGCACCACTCGTCAATGTGGCCGATTTATTGTCTTAATTGATCCAGGAATCAGGTTAAAGTGTTACTTAAAAAAATCCTAAGTATATTTTGGATTGTACTTTTAATTAATACAGTGAAACTCATGACTGAAGTACTGTGCCTTCTAAAACCTGCTAAAATCTGAGAATATAATGATTTTATTCATAAAAATGACATTTACTTGAAACCAGATATTATCTTTATTTTGCCGGAAACTTTCTCAACGCCGAAACGCAATGCCTTTCAGGGAAGTAATTTTATAACTTCAGCAAGGAAGAACTTTTAAAATGTACGGTAATTTTTTTAGAAAGGAATCGCGGAAACACGTCTAATTTTCCCTTTTCCGTATACATACGCATATTTCCAGTAATATCACTATAAGTATTTCGGTTGCTCTTGTTCTTGAGTGTACGGACGTGCACATGTGTGTTTTTGCCAGTCCGTCACTGGCGTCTAGACTCCCCGTGCACCAATGGAGATGTATGAGGTGTCATTCGATGCGCCTCGGTCTCCTGATGAGGAACTGATAATTTGTTTTCGGATCCCGCTAGGAAATTTAAAGTAATTTCCAAAAACGTTTTTTGGCGTTGCGATCATAGTGATAATGCCAGGAATTAATCCAACGCCTCCTAAATTGATCTATGTAGGTGGCGTTGATTAAATACCAGAACCCAAAGGCATTTTTTAAAATAATTGTTTGCTAATTTTCTTTCACGATGTTGGCAACAATGATGTTGACATCTTTAAGTGAACAATTGAACTACCAAGTAAATCGCGCTGCAGTTGAATTTCAATTTAGAATCGAATTATTATCGTATTTTTAAAAATAAATTCGCGAATACCTACGAAAAGTATTGCCTCGGAACTTATTGAACTTGAATTTCAAGTGAATATAGAGAAAACCAAACTACGAGTAATCCTAGAGAATGAATGAACATTATGTTCTAATTCGCACTTTTACGTTACTACATAAGTGTGCAAATACTGTTTTCAAATGAATGTGACCCACAACGTATTCTTATTCAAATTAACTAACACCTTATTCACATAAATATACTTAACAGTCACCTTTGAATGTTAGATTTACTTGCAACGCTAGATTCGCATACAAAACGATTAATAGATTCATTGCAGAAGTAGAAGAGACACAAATTGGACTGGGTTTTGAACCTTTAATCTCTTCAAAAGTTAGGAGAGAAAAATTCAGTTTTAAGAAAAGATGAGGAAGAATCAAATGTTTAAAATAAAATTTGTTGCGATAGAATTTTCGGAGCTAATTGATAATTATCTGAATCTGTGCATTTAGCATTTGTGCTAATTCAAAAGTGCTACGTGCATTTTTGTGCAATTACAAAAAAAGGTAAAAATGTAACTCTACAAATATTTAACTATTAGCATCAAAACCTACAAGTATTTGTTAGGGCGATTATAATTTTGAAATTGCAATAAGACCAGTTCATATCCCGTATGGAGGTAACACACAAGCCTATGGGGTGTTAGGAACTTTAGAAAGGGAGTATAAACACGATTAATTGGTAAAACCAATAGTATAGAGGAGAGATACAAGATCTCTCCTCTATACGAGATCTACTCTATGCACATTTTGCTAGTACGCAGTACAGGGAAAGTTATATAATACTGCGCGAAAAAATTGCGGATTTTCGGGAAAATAATATTCATTGTGGAGCCCTGATAATGAAAAAGTGGATACATCCAGTAGTTAAATAAAGGTGGGGGATATCCTCTATCACGCGGTATTGCCAGAATCCCTGTTTCGTGAGTCCTCGATACCGAAAAATTAATTGACGGCAAAACGTCCCTCCGAGTGTCAGTCCGTCCGTCAGACTGTGAACAATATAAGCGCCTAAATCACACGCACGATTTTTTCCAAAATGGATATTCCCCCGTCGTTCTGGCACCACTCCAGGCGCCGCGAATTTGAGAGATTCTTCAAAAATTTGGGAGAACTCTACATCAAGCCAGCCCCCTAGGCATTTTCAACATTTTGTCAAAAACGGCTCCAAATTGTTTCTTTAAATTTCTTGTAAAAATAGAGTAACATACACTTGTAAAAGTGGCATAGGTCCGATTTTCACGGTTCACTCTGAATTTTGGAAAATTTCAAAATTATGATTTTTATCGGCGTTTTCTTACATCTACAAATTGAAGGTAGAGGTTTTCCTTCAAATTAAATTTGTCGCCCATTATTAGTTCTTTCATTAAGTTCATGTACATTTTTTTGAAACGTTTGGTACTTTTCGCGCAATATTGTTGGATAATATTTTCAATATTAACTAGTGGTGCTACAAACTGGCACAGACATTCCCGCATTAGTTTTCTACTTCCTTTGGTCTCACCTAGCTACTCGGAATCGCCATATACTCTTTCCAGCTGCCATCTATCGCCGCCCAAAGTACGTTGTTTTGAAATATTCTTAATTTTTCGGTTTCATAATAGTAGAACGGAAACATTATTTAAGAATATTAAAGAACAGTAATATCTCATCCTCATGTTATGTACGGTCATTGCGAATGACGACAAACGAAAGATGGCCAAAACGAGTCCTGAAATGGGTGCCAACAGAAAGACAGAAGAAGAGGAAGACCAGAACTTGCATGGAGTGCAAGAGGCTATGATGGCAGAGAGAAATGCCAGATGAATCTATGGTCCCAATAAGAGAGGCTGGAGACTGAGAGCGAGAAACGGCGACAACGCTGTAAGAGCAACTCGTATAATATAATATATATATATATATATATATATATATATATATATATATATATATATATTATAATATATATTTTCATCCTAATAGCAATTTTCTTGGGTAAAAATTTTGGGAACCATTTTTTATGGTAAATTCTCGGGGTTTTAAGCACTACTGTAAATTCGAAATTTGAAGCTCTTTCTGACGGAAACTTTTTGAGATTTCGAAAAACTTGGTAAATTAGAGTCATCAGAGATCTTTCAAAAATATTATATTAGTGTCATTTTTTTAAAAACAAAAAAAATACCCTGATATGAAATTTACTTCAAATTAAATAGTACAATTAACATTATCCCTTCGAAAAATCCGAAGAAGAAATTTGGATCCGTTTTTGAGAAAATCTGGTTTTGGTACTTTTTACTTTCTCGCACGTACTAACGTAACAAAAGAATTATATGAAGTATTGTAAAAATCGATAGAAAAAAAGCAAAATGCCTGTCTGTCTGTCTGTACACATCGCTGGCGCATAAATCGCTGTGCGTAATCGCTGGCGCCGATTTTCTCCAAAATTGTTATTTCCCAATCGTTGTAGATTTTGTTGCGGACCCATGAATTTGAAACCGATATTTTAATTTTTGGGGGTATTTTAATGTTGCTGGTACATTTTAAAAAAAAATTTGCTCTAATTTTTTATTGAATTTTGTTGTTGAATAGTGAAAAGGATGTTTAAGAGAATGGTGCAGGTCTCATTTTCGTTAACATTCCCGATTTTTCGAAATTAAAAAAATAGTTTTTAAACTTTAAAAATTGGAGATAGAAATTTTTCTCAAAATCTGTGCAAGATTAGCTCTTCAAATAACTTCATGCACAGTTTTTTTGATAAAGAAGTAGTGTTTGGGTATTTTGCGATTGAAATTTATAAAACAAATTTTCCCAAAAACCGCAACAATTTTTTTCTTTAAAGTTTCTTCACTTATATAATAATAGACGACAAAAATATGGCGCTAGTCCAAGTCCATTCGGGTATTGCTTTTTGAAAATTAAAAAGAAGTTAATATTATAAAATCGAAGATACAGATTTTTGCTTCAGACAAAGTCTGTTGCACAAAATTAGCTCTTCAAAAACAATATGTACAATTTTTTGAAGAAACAAGTTGGTAATTTTTGTGTATTTTGTGATTGAAATTTACCAAAAAAAATCTCAAAAACAGCTCCATTTTTTTTCTTTATATTTTCTCCACATATGAAATAAGGAACTGTAAGAAATATAGCGCTGGCCTCATTTTCAGGTATTGCTCTTTTTTTTCGAAAATTGCAAAACACTTTTCAAAACTACAAAACTGAAGAAATAGAGTTTGGCTGCAGACTGCAAAGTCTGTTCTGCAATATTACCTCTTCAAAAAGGTCATGCACATTTTTTTTGAAAAAACAAGTAGTTTTGCGTAATTTCTGCTTCAAATTAATGAAATATATACAGGTTCCACAGCAACTACCGGCCACGAGAAAAAAATGAACTAGGGGTGTATTGTATAAACTATGCCAATGCTGCAATTCCAACATAATATTTCCGATTGTATTCTGATACGATGGTTTTCGCTTGAATCGATTTACTTCACATAACTTTATTTGTGCAAGAATTGTTTTGTACTACATAGTAAAATGAAGATTACTTATAAAGAAATATTAACTGATGCTATATATATTTTTATTTCACGCATAATGATTGTCTTAAGCGCATATATTGGCTATTTTAAGAGCATGGTTGCATTAATACATATAACTTTTTCAGTGCGTGAAGTTCCAGTGTTTAATAATTAAAAATATTTTAAAGTAAAATATAAAAACGCACATAAAAGGAAATTACAGTAAAGAACAAATTAATACGAACAGAGAGGATTATCGTAATATCATCATTACTTGGTAAGACTCTTCTGGTCGCAGCTGTCTTGTTATGATACGAGTATTCCAACAACTGATGGTGAATGATGAAAACTAAACCAATAAATTAAAAATATTGGAGAGAAGAATCGTACCACAAGTTGAAAAGAACAAGACGTTGATATTCCAGGTCCTCGCACCGTGCCACACATCCAAGAAAGCTTTTGTTTTTTCAAAGAGAGCAATAAAAAATACAACTTCTTAAGTCACTTGTCAGTGTCTAGTGAAATTTTAGGGTTTTTAACGAAAGTGAGACCTGCGTCATTATTTTAAATGTCATTTACACTATCCAACAACAAAATTTAATCAAACTCCATTCAGCAATTTTTTTGATAACTTGGAAAATGTCCCATGGGATTCATGTAAAGTACTCCCCGAAATTAAAATATAGGTTTCAAATTCAAGGGGCCGCGGCATCAGCCGGATTGATTGGGGAGTATCAATTTTGGATAAAATCGGCTGAACGGCTTAGCCGCAAGCGTTGTTCACAGACGGACAGTCAGACGGGCAAACATTTTGCCGTCATTCGAGTTTTCGGAATCAAGTACTCACAAAACTTGGCAACGCCTTAATGAGAAGTAAAAAAAAAAATTGTTCGTTTGTGTCAACAGCGTCCCATGATTCCTAGAGCAAGTAGTATGTAAATTATGGTATTTTAGCTCTAGTAAATAACCTTCATATGTGTAACGTTCTAACCGTCTCTCCAACCACGCTAACAACATGAATTAATAATAATAATAATAATAATAATAATAATAATAATAATAATAATAACAACAACAATTTGCAGGCCAAAGTACATTTTTTGACTTCTTTCTTTATTTTTCAGTTTCCTAATAGTAAAATGGAAATATTATGTTAATAATTTTAAAGAACAGTAAAACAGAGTCCTAAATGGCAATTTTCTTTGAAAACTTTCGAGCCATTTTAAAGATAATGGCGTTTAAGCGCTACTATAAATTCAAAATTTGCAACTCTTTTTCACAGAAAATTTTTGAGTTTTAGAAAAATTTCATATTAAGTCGTTTAAAGCACTTCCAGTCAAAATGCAATAGTGTTTACAAATCTCTGGAAATGAGCATTTCCACGGTGTGAAAAATCTTTCAAAAAATTATGTCCGAATATTAATGTTTGCAGTTTACAATTATTGTACTGATTTATTGTTTTGAAATTAAGTATAAGAAAAGAAAGGGGCTGAGAGTAATGGAAGGATTGTCAATAGCGAAAAGCCCATAAAAGATAAAGATATATCATATTAAAAAACTGTCCTTTCAAAACAAAACCCAAGAAGCTAAAGAAAGAATATAACACACAAAAGGAAATACACTAAACAAATAATAAGATCTGCACCTAATACTCATGGAATAGAGTTTATAAAGGCACCATCGAACATGATATACATGGAAGACAACTTGTTCGCGTACAAACGTTTTAAGACATTTAAATCAGACGGAGAAAAGATGTTGCAGATATACGCAATAATCAATGAAGGAAACAATGGAAGAACACTATATCAACCTTTGGTGGTACTGAAACTCCTTGAACCCTAAGAGGAAGAGCTTCCGCTACAACAATACAGTGGATTCATCTCCTGGATGAATTAAAGCAAGCCTTGAACAGTATAAAAAACAGAAGGCATGTGGTCGCTGATCGAGTTAACATGGAAACTCATAAAATATGCAGGACCCCTAAGCGAATTTAGACTGCTTTTCATCTGTTCAAGAATGCTGGAAATTTATAAGATACCCAATAGCTGGAAAAATAACAGAGGCTCATATCTTATCTCTAAAAAAAAAGGTTAAAAGAAATGAAATGTGGAAAACTACAGGGTATCAGCCCCATGAATGCCGCTTTATCAAATATTTGCAAAACTTACAAACGCTGCGATGAATTATAGCAGAGGCTTAATTACAAGACCAACAATCGGGATTTTCGGAAAGGAGCTCTTGTAACGACAACATTTTTAGTCTAAAAGAAATATTAGAAAACGACGAGAAGTAAAATAAGGAAACCCCAATAGCCTTTATTGAGCTTCGAGAAAGCTTTGATAGCGTGGACAGACACAACTACTGGAACATAATGAACGAAGTGGCTATCCGAACACCTCATAAAAAAATCTAAAATATGTATCACGAAGACAAAAAAATTATAAAAATACTGGCATAAAGAAGACTGAAGAAATATTAATAAATAGGGGATCTTAAACAAGGATGGTAGTTTATCTCCAAAACTATTCAATATATTATAATTATATATATATATATATATATATATATATATATATATATATATTAGATGACCTTATTAAAAAATGGAGAATGCATAGGCTAGTTTCTGGAATACAGTTGAAGCAGAATAAACACCTAAACGTTCCACCTTTATGCAGTATGACGTTCAATACTGCAAGAAAGTGAAGATGATCTTGCAAAAAAGCTGTATACACACTGCATCAACTGGGAAGAAAAGAGTATAATCTCCGAATTTCTAAAACGAAGACCTAAAGTTATGGCCCATTGCGGTAAATACCCCATACGCTCAAAAATAGTTATTGACAAGCACAGTGATCGACCAGACCCCATCAAATTTTAATTACCTTGTTGTGACATCAGTTATGACACAGATAAAGACATAGAAAATAAAAACTATAAATTTCAATCAAGTATTGGAATAACAACCAGGGAACACTACAGGAACAAAGGGGGCAAGGAAGGACACAAAAATGGAAGTTTTTCTATAAGGACAATGGTGCTCCAGTTCTCTGTATGGAAGTGAATCGTGATAATGAAAAAAAAAGAGACCAAAGTAAGTTCCCAAGCCAGCAGAAATGGCAGATTTCTTAGGAAAGTTAAAGGCTGCATCAACAAGACATCCGTAAATACTGCATAAATGAGGACGTCCGTAAAGAACTAGATATATACAACATAAATGAAAGATGCGTAGAAAACAAGGAAAGAATGGCGGCGCATATCGAAAGAATGGAGGGAAGTTCGTATTCCTACAATTTAGTGATGAACTACCAAACCGAAGGGAAGAAGAGATATCGGCGCGACTCAAGAAAGAGATGGATCTTGATGTGGCAGAGCGAAAACGGAAAACACGGCACTTCTGCATAATCCCCTTCGAAAATGGAGAAGGAAGAAGAAAATGAATTGTATTATTTATTGCATTGAAGTAATATTGTGACTTTTTGTCGGTCAGTTTGAAAATCAGTGATACAACTAAGACTCGCATGGCGCTTTCCTAAGACCACGTTTTTGTTTATTTTTATGAAATAAATTGAATTGTCCTTAATTATTATATTCTTTTAATTCAATCACATTTTATCTTAAATTGTAATATTTGTCCTTTTTTTGGGAATATATTTGTGAAAGTGTATGTGAATATGTAAAGGGAAAATTGTGGCCAATAATTATTATTATTATTATTATTATTATTATTTATTTTATTATTATTATTATTATTTAATTAATTATTATTGTCTTACATTATTCACAGTATCTTACTGGTCGGTATGGTCAACCACACACAGTATGATGACCAGGTGTGTGTTGCTTTACTGAAGGTTCAGATGGTCTTCTGACAATACGGCATGTATTCAAAATTACTGTCTTTTGCATATTATATACATTCCTGGTAAATCCAAGTGAAGACACTCCAGTGCCCGAAGTGTCATTTTCGGGATCACTCCGTAGCTGAATATTATTAATAGCCAACAGTCGTCACTTTACCTGAAGTTCCACTGAGTTGCGACACTTCATAGTCCGAGATTGGTATACTTCTGGATCTTCTCTTGATATTTTCCCGATACTGTTGTGGGGTATTGGGTATTGATATATCGTAAGGAAAACCTTGCTGTTGGGTTTTTCTATAATGTACGTTATCTCGGGTCTATTGCCGGGCGGACATGTTGTCAGTGATAATGGAACGATCCCAGTAGAGTGGTGGTGCTCACTACTTTTCAAGCACATTCTGAGGCACATATTTATAATAACGGGCACGGAAGTGCGAGTAAAGCCGCGTTCTCACGCCAATAATTGGTGTACCTGCTTCGCCCAGCTTTTCATCATGCCTCTTTTTGTATTCTACCTTGTGCGTGGCTGCTACATCCACTTGTCACGTTTTGGAATAGTTTCGCTTGCAGCCTCAATCTTCTACACGAGTCGGAATGATGGTCAGAGTCTCTCAGCATGTGTTTTCTGTAGTTCAATGTTTGGTACCCGACTTGTCCTGGATAGCTATCATGAAGGCTTTATTATTATTATTATTATTATATTATATTATTATTATTATTATTAATTATTATTATTATTATTATTATTATATTATTTATTATTATATTATTATTATTAATTATTATCATCATCATTATTAATTAATTGTTTTTGCTCGTACAGTTTTTCGAAAATTTTAAGAAAACGACTTCTTAAAGTCGCGGGTGGGCGCTGTACCAATGAGAAAGAAGAATAACTAGAAAATTCTGATTTTCTTGACATAACAATGAACACAAAACACTTCACTATAAGATAATATTGTTTTTAATTTTCTCACTACCGTTATTAACAATAAAAATTATAAATCATTACACTGCCTCCAAAAACAAAACAATTCCAGATAAATAAATCCTCATGAAAAGAATCCTATCCATAACACTAATCCACAATGACAGTCCCCACGACATCCTAAAGATTGTTATCCACGCCTCTCAATTTTTCATAACCACTCCTTATCCCAAATACGACCTCTTCGACATCACTGACCACCTCCTCTTTGTATTCACCTGCCCACACCTTCCTACTACGCACTCCCCAAACCACCACCCACCCCGACAACAAAAACTTATTGAAATTGGAAAAACTTATAAAAAATATGTCCTCTGCCTCACATTCCATCGTCCTACACACCCTGGACCTAACAAGATGCCAACACAAAATCCCCCACATCCTTACACACGCCCATCCGTTCCGTCAACTCATCATTCCCCACCACCACATCATCAGAAACCCACCTCGCTTCTCTCGCAATCAACACCCACTTGACATCCTCCAACTCCCTCT